ATACTTTTAAATTTTAATTTTTTTTAGTTAGATTTATTTTTCTAAATTAATTCGAATACAATAAAGTATATTATAAACTTGTATACTACATTAATTAAATGATTTATAAAAACTACACTAAAAGAGCATTTAATTTGTTAATTAAATGATTCACAAAAAGTAGACTAAAAATATTTAATTTATCTTGTGAAGAAATGAAAGAGAGAAGATAATTAAAAGTGTTGATAATGAGATTTGAACCCATGACATAAGCCTTCAATAACATAAAAGTTAGAGTTCAACCAACTAAACTACTTAAACTACTAATATTTTTAACATAAATATAGATTTTATATAATATATCATGCTCTATATGTATACATATACATACATATATATAAAGGGGTGGGGTGGGGGGAGTGGGGGCAGCTGCCCCGACACTAGGTCCGCCCTGAATATATGTTCATAATTTTTGAACTATATATTCATAATTGTGAACAGTTTTGAAACATGTCCACCTTGCAAGGTGAACACAGTTCCACAGCATAATATGCCACTTGAGTGATTACCCTATTTGCCATTGTGTTATTTGTCCTCTCAGAAGTTATATGAGATGTATTTGCTAGTTATTTGGGCTTATTACTACCCATTGGACTTGGAAACCCCTTGGGATTTGCGCAGTTAATTTTTTAGTCCAATTTCATATGAATGGAAAATTTTACGGAGTGTTCAGATTATAGTTCACTAGAGCTTAATTAAATAAGACCATGTCCCATCATTATGTTGGTATTCCTCAATATTCATTGAAAATGTTTTTGGAAAATAATATTATTTTGAAAAGTTGTTGAGTAACCCTCAGGTATTATAGTGAATTATTTTGAAGTCATGTTTGAAGATGAATACTGTAAAGTGTAAATATTAAAGTCAAAATGTGGAATGGACAGAGTTTTGTCTGGGATGAGGTTGGGAGGAGATTTCCTAAAGGAATTTGGGAGGATGTTTCCTAAGGAACTTGGGAGGAGGTTTTCTAAGGGACTTGGGGAGGAGGTTTGCCTAAGGGGAAAAACATGGGGCTAAGTTTGGACATATGTTTTGGAGAAAACTTGCAGGAAAAGATTAGCATTAAATGCTTGGAATCTCTAGGCACACGGATTCTAGCTTGGAAATATCTAGACACATGGATTGCTATAAATAAGGCAACATCCTTCATTCATCAGATCATCCCATCTCATTCGAAATACAGAGAGTATAGAAAAATTCTGTAGAGAAAAAATAGAGAGTTATATTTGTAATTCCTATTGTAATATCATTTTGCCAATATAGAAAAAATTCTTCTTCAAATTGCCTTATTCTGTGTATGATTTATTTTAAATCTTACACTAGAATTTATTCTCAATATTTCCAGTTCAAGTTGCTATTGTAAATTTGGTGTTGTGAACCCGTTTCGATCCTAACAAGCGGTATTAGAGCCTTAGATTGGTTCATAGATATATCTTTTTGTATCGTTTATGTTAGAATAAATACTGGTAAATTCACAATGCCGGTTGTAACACCCCACTTTTCTTAAACTAAATTACAGTTCTAAAACCAAATTAGGATAAACTAAGCAGCGGAAAATCAAACTTAATTAACAAACTAGTGGGAATGTCAGCGCCACAACCACCTTCCCACGGTGATTGCACAGGCTAAGGATAAAACTAAACATCAAGTCGAACTAACATCCGAAATTTACTACATTTAAGTCACTTGGGGAAAAACACCCCCAGTGTCTATCACCAAACATAAATAACATAAGTCTACAACCATCATCCATAACATCATAAGGTAAAACAAGAGTTTAGACTATTAGATCTACTAAACTAGTCTAACGCGAACAACTCTCAAACTCTGGGCCCACCTGAAAGGAGTTTTGCAAATAGACAAATAGAAAACACCCGTTAGCACGAAGCTAAGTATAACCACACTCAAACCTGTAAAATACTACAGTATTTACTTTGGAAAAACATTTGCTCACATTCTCAAATTAAGCAATCTCAATCCTGTATAACATTTCAATAACAATCTCATGCTAGCACATAACTTAACAAGCAATTTCATGCTATCAAACAATAAGAAATTATTCTCATGCTTTCAAGTTCTCATCATATAAACTAGATATACATCAATATGCAACTAAGGCAATCATACTCAATATACAATCTCAGACAATCATTCTCAATATGCAATCTAGTGCAAACATTCTCATTATGCAATCTCGTGCAATTCTATACTCAAATGCAATCTCGTGCAATACGATACTCAAATGCAATCTCGTGCAATACTATACTCAAATGCAATCTAGTGCAATACGATACTCAAATGCAATCTCGTGCAATACTATACTCAAATGCAATAAGATGCTATAGGATAAGTATACTTATACACTCGTTTGTAAATAGAATACTTTTCTGTGGAGGTTTCTTAGAGTCACAATGACTCGCTTTCTTTCTCTTGAGTCTCTTGACTCAATTTCTTTCATGCT